TTTTACATAACCCTTCCCAAGCTCAAATCTCATCCTTATGTTTCCGCTATAACGTAGTTAATTCTAATAGGCCATAGATCATTGTCTTTAATCATAAGCCATTGGGCACCATAGAAGAATATGGTTACAGTATTCTGCAGCTTTCTTGCGCAAGTAGCATCCATTCACAATTATTTTGCCTCTTGTTTATCAGCGTATCAATTGTCAAAATGCATTCACAATTTATCTCTTAAACAGAAAAAGCAACCCTTGGAGGCGCCTTTGCTTTCCATATTTGATACATCAGAAAATTGGTAACCCCTTTTGACTCTCTTCCCACCAGATAGTTACTTTTTTTTTTTTGAGATAAAAGTGTAAGATGTATTGATAAATTGGCACCAAGGGGATGCCACCCATGTACAAAAAATTTAAAGACCAATGAGTATATTTATAATAGATCTAAGATCAACAATGTTATCAAGGTCATGACCAAGTGCAATAGAACCAAAAAAGTGAAACCATTTATCCTTGATAGAGACAAAATTAAGTTTTTTTTTTCCTTCAAAAGCTCTTCGAATTCTTTCTTTCTCAATTATCCAAAAGGTAGATAAAGGAATGATTCTGTGGGACAAGTTTTTCTTACAAAGGCCTTCCCAAGCAAGTAATTCCCCTTTGACCGAGCCAACAGTAACCAAATGTAAGCCCATGATGCTGAAAACCAGAGACCAAAGAGAGTGAGAGAATGAACACCAGAGGGGCAGGTGGTTGGTGGATTCCAGATTAGATTTGCAGAGATAACACCTATTGACCATGATAACTCCTCTCCTAGTATGATTTTCAATTATAAGAATGGGTTCTTTAGCAGCTTCCCAAGCAAAAAAGGAGATTCTTGGAGGAGCCTTGGATTTCCAAATCATATTTGCCAGATAATCCAAGGGGAAGTGTCTGTTGTGGCCAGCCATGTGATTGTAGAGAGATTTAGCCAAGAAAGCACCATTCTTGCTTAATTTCCATATAAGTTTGTCTTCTTTGTTGTTGGTACTAATATTGGTTAGAACCTGGCGCAAAGACAAGTATTCCTCCGCCTCTCAATCCTGTAAATTTCTGTAAGACCAGATTCCATTACCTAGATAAATCAGACTCAAGAATCTTTTCGATGAGGGCATCTTTTCTCAGGCAATCTTTTCCATTCCCACCAGATAGTTATAGTGAGTCTTGACAGTGAATTTCCCATTTTTTTTTGTTTCCATACAATCTGGTCCCTGTTATCATTTGCATGGACTGTGGATAATAGCTGTAGCAATGCTTCATATATTTTGACTTCCCAATCGTTCAGATTCCTGTTCACATTCACAATCCACACTTTGTTACCATTATCTTCTCTATATGCGTCCTCAGTAACCATATTTTTTGAGTGTGCAATGATAAATATCCTTGCAAACTGTCTCTTGAGACTACGCCCATCCGTCCATTCATTCAACAAAAACCAGATTCTTTTACCCGTACCTAATCTCCAACTACTGCAACTTTAAGTTTAGGCTGATGCATCTCAATTTTTCTCCATAGACGCAAGCCATGTGGTCTCATCACACATCTCCTGTCCCCATCATCATCAAAACTCCTCCAATAGGGGCCTTGGTTACACTCTTCCATAGTCTATCGTCCTCCTTCGTGAACCTCCACATCTATTTACCTTGTAGAGCTACGTTCATCTCAGTAAGAGATCTCAAATCCAAACCCCCTTTTTTAACAGGTAGCTTTACATCCTCCTGTTTCATTTGGTGATATCTCATTCTCCCTTCATTATCATCCCAAAGAAACATGCTCTGGATAGCTTTCAATCTCCTTGCTACTTTTACAAGGATCGACAATGTAGATAAGTAGTAAATGAGAAAGTTGGTCAACGTGGTCTTTATTAATGTTAACCTACCTCTCTTTGATAGAAAATTCCTCTTTCATTCTGCTAATTTTCTCTTAAACAACTCAATCACTTGTTCTTACGTTTTATATCTTTATATTTATCCCTCA